TAAAAAAAAAAAAAAAAAAAAAAAAAATACGTATTCATCGTTTACCCTTGACCTTGACATTGCTCCTTAGGACAATTCCTAAGGCATAGCAAATTATCTGAGTCTCGAGTCTCGTAGATATAAAGAATAAGCGTATGTCGAAGCAGAGGCAGGAGGCTCAAGAACCTACACCAATGGTTCGTCGAAAGAGCGCCCGTTTGCTTTTCAGAGCCGCGGTGTCAAGAATGCACGTTGCTATAAGGATTGCCGATCATTGAAAGAAAAAGGTACTTTAATAAGAAGAGGTCTGTATTATTGTATTATAGTAGTTTTTTTTACACCCGTATAATCGGTTGTCGTTAAGAAATCAAAATCTAGTGCGAAATTATTTGTAAAATGAAATACACTTACTTGTGTGTAATCAGGCGAAGGCGGCGTGGCAGAAAACTCTCCGCGCACGATAGCATCTCCCAACGCTTCCACGAAAGCTTTTTCAGTCGAGCAATTCTCCCACAAATTTGTCCATAACTCCTCGCTAAAAAAATATTAATTTATTAATTGGGTGTCGCCCGCGATAAAAAAAAACTTAATTAGTGGGTAAATGTTCTTTTAGACTATGTTCTACAACTTTGCCGAAATTCATTAAAATCTGTTGAGCCATTCTGGATATACCTACAAACACACATCCATTCAGCTACCTGAAGTTTCGTATTTTATAATATTAGTAAGTAAGTTAACTTACTTCCTTATAGAATAGATCCAATTTGACACTGTGCATACTTTACAAAGTTACATTATATATAGAAACTACATAGATAAACTAAACTAAGAAACTTTTTTTTTCGACAAGGGCAAAGGCTAGGCTAGAAATGTATGGCTAATACTTACATTAATTCGAATTTCAAACATAGTTTAATAGTCTGAATCGCAACATTTTTATTGCTTAATATGTGGGGCCTTTCTGCCAGCATGTGGACAAGGTCGACGGCTACTGTCTTTGCGCTGGGATCCTGTGCGGAACAGAGCAGTCGCAGCGCCTGTAGGTGCCGGCCGGACGCGACGAACGCCCGAGTCCTGGCTAGAATGTCACGAGGACGCACTCGCATTATTCCTTTGCGACCGAGAATTGACAGAGAGCCTTCTGCAACACAAATCCCCGCCAACGCACTTTCTCCAGCTTTGCACATCGCAAGAGACACACGACCATCCGTCCAAAGGCCCTGAAATATATTTCATAACAAATATTTTTATTTCACATTTTTTACAGCAGACATCTATTTACAAATTTTGTCTGTAGTAGGTATAAAATCTTTTATTTGTTTATAAGTAAATAAATAAAATCATATACCTTGAAAAATGCTGACGAATATACCGGCTCAATATTGGAGAGATCTAGGGGCTTATCGTTATCATCTCCCCACAGTCGAAGATTTTCATTGGAGTCGAATATAGCGAGGCTGCCGCCAAGCCAGCCCATCCAGAGAGGCGTCGCGTTCAACTCTACTTTTTGTACTGGCCGAAGAACTATGGCTGTGCCCGTTATGTCGATAGATAACCACTGTAACGTGTTAAATCTCGCGCAAACCAGGATTCTACTATCGGCCTCGCACCACTCTAAAACTGGGAGAGTATCCGGTGGTCCTTCAAGTCGGACACCCGCTGCTCGACCACCGGCGACTATAATCACTCGAGACAGTGTCGCCAAAGCCAAGATTCTGGCGTCCCGTGCAGACATTGCGACTACCTCGCCTCGTGCGCCGGAGAATAGGCACGAGACCCGGGCGGAGCGCACACCAAGCGGACGCGAGAACTTCATTAACCAGACTGAACCACCTGTATCCAGTGCGAGGCCGGAGGTTCCTGCCCACGTGACTCGCAGAGCGCCCCACGTTTCACCACCAAGTGTGACGCGTCTCAAAATAACTCCTTTTACGCTTTCATATTGAAAGATAAGTCCTCTCGCGTATCCGGCCAAAAGTCGTGTACTGTCATTATTGTACGCTAAGCACGTCACTGCGCCACAATTTTCATTGGCGTCACAAACCCATCTCAAGGTTTGATCTTGGAATGACAGTATATGGCCGTGAGCTGTTCCTACTGTGGTCTTTCCAGTAGAGCCAACACTGAGGGAGGTTGCTGCTCCAGCTAGTGACCTTTCCTGAAATAATAGTAAAAATTTATTTCGGACCTTATTAGTTTGGAGGCCCCTAGGATAGGGAAATATTATATTTTGGTGTGCCCTACTCTCTTGATTAAAGGGAGGCATTGCAATGCATGATGTTTATGGGCAACATTTATTTCATTATTTTGTCAAGATTAAGTAAATGTGTTTTAGTTAAAACTCTTATATGCTTTCTGTCACAATTTTTTTTTTCTGGTTCTTGCCTGTATAATGTTCCTCATAAATCCAAATATTCAACGAAAAAATTTCATTTTGTATATTATACAAACGAGAAACAAATAAAACGAGATTCTAAAAGAAATATGGTAATACTAAACAAAATAATAACAATGATAAAGAGAATATAATTAACTTAAAAACAACATATTTCATTTTAATTGATATCAAATAACATGAAGGTTCAACAGCTTTATATCTGCATATTATGTTTATAGATAACAAATAGTTCCACTAATGAATAACTGTTCTATCTGATCTGTTTTATTTTGTGCTATACTAACTTTGTGGGCACAATTTAACAAGCATTACTTTTGTACACCTACTATTTGTTTAATATAATTTATAATTTTTGTTTTCACTTTTATAACATAGTTGCCACATGTCTTTGGTGTTGTTTTTTTTAAGGGCACAAATTTGTGAGAATCAAAAATAGTCAATTAATTAGGAATGGCTTTACTCCCATATGATTACGTAGTGACTGTGTCAAGATGTTTATTTTTGTTATTAAAAAAAATTAAGAAATTGGAATAATATTAATTTTCTAAAATAACTTGAAACCAGACAAGGATTATTTAAGTATAGCAATGATAACATTTACTGATAATGTTTTTTCATACATATTATAGCATATATTATTATATTGTAAAGTAGGTAAAATGTTTTTATGAAATATGCATTTGTAAGTATACTTGTGCCTGAGTCAACTGTTGAGATATAGCTTGCAGAAATTCCAGTTGCAGTGCCGAACAGGTCATTGGCTCTTTGAACATTTTCTTCTTATCATCATTGTCATCAAATCCTCCATCTTCTGCAGATAGGGCTTCTGCTAAAGTAGGGGCTTCACTTGCAGGTAATGCATATTCAACTTCATCAAGCTACAAATAATAAAAAAAAATGTGAATGAGATCGTTTCCGAAAACTTTAAATCAATTTATGAAAATTCGGCATGGTTCGCTATTGTTAAGTACTACCTAATTTTTAATTACAAAGGTCATTTAGAAAAAGTTGAAAACAAATCTATTATTAAAATCTATATTAAAAACAAATCTTTTGTTTACCTCTTCAAAGTCTATATAATGCAGACTTTCAACTGATTCTAAATCGGAATCTAGTAAAGATTGAATTGACGGTGTTTTTAACAAATCCATTGTTTTTCTCATTTAATTTAATTAAAAACACATCACGAATAACTTCAAATCCAACTGATCCCGAAGACTAAAATATTTTTATTGTATTAGAGAGATTGATTAAAAACAACCAGATTTTTGAACATAAAACAGTTATAATAAAGTATATTATACTATTTAATTCAAGTAACAATATCTTATTGGAAAGTATCTTATGGCAGTTTTTTGACACTGACACTGACGGCCTACAAGATTCAGGGATACCAGTGAGCAAACATTTTCTGTTTTTCGAAAGTCGTCTATGTTACAATTCTAAGAAATTGATTTGCAACTTATAAACAGACTAACTGTTGCCCGCGACTCCGTTCACGCAAAAAAACACTGTGTAAGGAGCCTATGTGCTTTTCCAGACTATGTTCTAAATTTATTCTAAACTTTAACAAGATCCGTGCATTCGTTCTGGAGATACCTTCAAACAAACATCCATCCATCTAAACATTCGCATTTATAATAATTTAATATTCCTATGAAACTAAATAATTAAAATATAATCTTACTAATATAATATGAGAAAAAAGTAAGATCGAAATGCCCAAATAAGCTATATGTAGTTCCTGTACAATTGATGTGTCAACACTGGATTGGGTTAGATTAGGCACGCCGTTTTCATTGCACCAGTAACGGTGTAGTGGACAAACTGACTTCAATAATAGAACGCAATGCCAGTTATTCGACTGATACCTATATGCCTATGGTGATTTCCGTCGTCACTGGCTTATTTTACTGGCATGTGAAGTGTGAACGAGGCAAAGACGTCAAAGACAAGATCATAGACGACTGGTCTTTTACAAAGTAGCTCTAAGCAGGGGGTGGAAACTTAGAAGAAGGACGGTTTGTATGGAAAGTGGCGCCACCTTTTATATAATGGTAAACATCATTTCATCTCATGGCTGAGAAGAAGCATCATTTCTGTCATCGAGACATTCATGTGTCATCAAACCGCTACGTTTTTTCGTATTTCTATTTCTGTTCTTGTATTCTTAGTTAAATGTTGTTTCATTCATTTTGTTTTTAATTAAAATGTGTTTTCGTGAAAAACGACGCTGTATGCAACTGTGTTTTAGATGGACTGATTATGGTAAGTTACAATTCAATAAAAATTTTCATGTTATTCCCATACGTCAGACTCATTTAAACATTTAAATATTTTCGTATTTTGGTGTAGTTTTTAGCACCACAGTGATTTATACTTTCCGGTTATCATATTGAATGGTGCCCTACTTCTAATACATTTTACATATCAGTTCCTATACTTGACAGGAAATCACATTCTGTTTGTTTGTTGTAGGTGCACATATACACGGTTTTCCCCTTCCGGAGAGAAGGTCAGTGAAGTTCAGAAAATGTGTGCCAATCACTGGAATTATAGAGCCATAAACTGATGTGTCTGAAATTACTAGGTGGGTCCATGTGTGTATATGTAAAAAATATATTTTTTTATTTGTAATTTTTTATTGTAAAGAAAAATCTGCTTGCCTATGTTGTAAGAGAATATGATCAGAGTGTTTAAACTCGCAAATAACTACAAATTGCCAGTTGCCAGCTTGCATGTGACTGAAAATATTTTGGGGTTTGGTTGGTTGGTGGTTGGGGTTTTAATTACAGGGTATGCATTTTTTTGTGACCGCGCTATACTATTTATTACCGTAAATGTAATTTCAAATATATATATTAAAAATTAAAATATTGAGCTGATATCTTGAAAGTCATTGATGTATATGTACTTGCATAGATTTAAAATTAAGTTTTGTAGAAATATAATAAATAATGTACAAAAATATAAAAATATTTTGTTTTTATTTCCCCAATAATAATAGGATCATTTTAATAGAGGTATTTCATAGAAGGCTACTTGATATCGGCTCACTATATTAATAACTACATAAGTGGGTATATTATTTTTGAACATTGATTTAATGTCAATTTTAACTTTATTAGATTCCCACTTATTAGTTATTAATATAGTGAGCTAAATATGCGTGCTTACATATATAGGTACCAAAAAAAAAAAAATAGTTCACCGATTATACGCATGGAGCGCCACAATCGCCGTGGATCCACGACTTCGTGCGAGTTGCCCCTCTTTCTATAGTATACTTATTATACTCTTTGGCTCTAAGTCTATGGTTCTTTTCCAAGTGAGTATGATTATTGATTTGTGAACACTAAACGTTGTTGAATTTCGTTGTTAATGCCATTAATTGCTGGCGATCATTAAATTAAGTCCGGAAATATTGAAGCCGTTCATTTAATCAGTAAGTCGAAGATTTTGTAGACGTTTTAGAAGTAACGAGTGCGTAGGATTTGAAGTTTTGGCTGCGACGCCATTTTGTGAATGGTACATTCGCTATTTTGAAGTACATGACATAATTTTTATATTTTGTATATAAAATGTCTGAAAACACGCCCAAAGAGCCCCCCTTACAGAATATGGATATGTGGATGTCTAATCCAAATATGTGGATGTACGGTATGCATCCTTCATACAATGGATATCACGGCGGAATGTATCCGCCGTTTTACAACAATCAGTATTATAATACTATGCCTCCCAACGGTGGTTTTCATAACAACGATCATCATCAAGGAAATTTTGTCCATCCTAATATCTCAAAACCTCCGCCACCCGCACCTCTTCTTGGAATGTCACCCTTTGACACAAATCGTCCATTTTATTCTCAACCGCCGATCAGATTTAATCTAAACAATAATAGAAAATCAGCACCTATTCCTCCTAATGAAAATCCCCTACTTGTTAACAACAATGCAAAGAAAAAGCGTAAGAAGGCCAACAAATCGAATGATGAGGCAGAAACAGATGTATTACCTCCTCTGCCCGATCATCCTCCGCCATTGCCCCCATGTCCACCTCCAGATCTTCCACCTCCTCCTCCTCTTGATGTACCATTACCTCCCCCTTTAGCAACAGAAGACATTCCTGAGCCATTAGAAGAACAAATTCATGTGGATAATAAGGAACAGGAATTAAATAAAAATGAACAACAGGAAAATTCTATATTCTTACCATCCTCCACAATTTGTCCAACAGCAAATGGGACATGGCCTGAAAGTTTAGAGAGGTATATTAAAAGATGTTACGAAAAATGTAGAACAACTTTTGACCGTGATCAAATTGACATATGCTTAAAGGGACGTATTACAGCAGCCGCAAATAAAGATGAAATATGGACCAGAAATTGGGATGAGGAACCAATTCCCAGTGTCCATAGTGAACGTAATAATTTGTCAGTGAAGCCCGTTAAGGGCTCATTGTCTTTATATCAAAAATCAGAGAGCCTTTCAGATAGTAAGCCCAAGTCAGGTCCAACAAGCAGAGGTTACAGTGCACATAAAAGCCCACAGCAAAGACGCCGACGTCACTCGAGAAGCAGATCTAAATCTAAAAGTCCAAAGAAACATATGAGGTAAGTTTCCTAAATATTATGTATTTATAATATTCAACTTGTGTATTTATTAATTTGTTGTTTTCTTTTTAGTACGTCTTCACCATCCAGTGATGAATTTGAGGATAAGAAAATTTTAAAAAATAAGAATCGGCAAAAGGTTAAAGATAGATTATCATTAGATCAGAAAAAACCAAACAAATATAATAAAAATGGCAAAAAGAAAAACTTCAACCAATTTGTTGTTGAGCATGTACAGGTTAATGCAGAGAAACTGCAGAAACGTGCAGAAAGATTTGCAAACACAAATATACCTAGTGTTGCTAGCTCTATACAAATTAACAACTGTAAAATGGATCCTAGCCCAAGAAGGTTATTCATTCAAGATACCGAAGGAGATTATGAGCTAAATAATGTACACATTGTAGGTACATGCTCTGATATTGAAAAGTCATTTTTGAGGTTAACTAAAGCTCCTGAGGCATGTGAAGTGAGACCTGTTTCTGTTTTGAGAAGTTCACTTAAGAATGTGAAAGAAAAATGGATAGAGAGACAGGATTACAGATATGCTTGCGACCAGCTTAAATCTATAAGACAGGATCTAACAGTAAGTTGTCATTTTTGTACCATTGAATAGGCACCTTTAAAAATGTTTGGTACCTTCAAACTTTTCACTTGTGAGCAAAATTAAATTCTAATATCTGCAAATTTAAATATTGTTTTGACATTGTGTATGCATGAATAATTAATTAAACATCTTAATTATTTAGGTTCAAGGTGTGAGAGATGGTTTTACTGTAGAAGTTTATGAAACACATGCAAGGATAGCATTGGAGAGAGGTGACCATGAGGAGTTCAATCAGTGCCAAACACAATTGAAAATGCTGTACACAGAGTTACCAGATTGCAGATCCAATGCTGCTGAATTTACTGCTTATAGGATATTATATTATGTATTTACAAAAAATACACTAGGTAAATATGAACATTGGTTTTTATGTGAAGAAAACTTTAAACTTACATTTTATTGAACAGTTTCTCATGATAGCAATTGTTTTGTTTTAGATCTAACAACAATATTCCAGTTTCTTACAAAAGAAGACAGAGAAAATGAATGTATTAAACATGCCCTACTTACTCGGTGTGCTTGGGCTACTGGCAATCTTCATAAATTCTTCTTGTTGTATAAGACAGCTCCCCTGATGGCAGGCTACCTAATGGACTGGTTTGTGGAGCGGGAGAGGAAGCAATACTTGAAGTACATCATAAAGTCGTATGTCAAACTTTATTTAATATTACATAACACTTTTCATGTTTTTAAATCATTAATAAAAAATGTATTTACTTATCATTATCACATCAAATTTACAAAGGAATAGATATTTACATAATATAAAATCAAAATCATTAGTGCAGGTATGCTTTTGAAAGTTATTACTTAATTAATAAATATATAAAGTAAAATAAACAGTAAAATAATATATTTTGAATGGCATGAAGTAGTGTCAAGGAAAGAAAAATTTTCATGGTACTTGACAAGTATGAAAGAAAAAGAGAATGAAAATATTTATAAAATTAAAAAATTATTATGTGTATAATCTTTTGGGTTTATTTGATAAAATAGTTGGTACATCACTGTCATGTGAATGTTTAACAAGAGGTTTCTTAGTTCCTTTAAAACTTGGCCCTACTGCTAAGTATTACAATAACAAATTAATATGATTTTTAAAGATTGAATGATGTTGTAAATGTATAGAATGATCTTTAAGTTTTATTTATTTTTAACTGGCACTTTGCTAAATTGGCTGCTGCTATATAAAAAAAAATTGGTAAGTAGTTTAAGAAGAATGTTGATGCGTTAGATGCTTTCAGGATACATTCATCAAATGTTTGCCAGCCACACTGGATTTGATTATTAATATTATTTTGTATGTTCAGCTACAGGCAGTCAGTTCCTGTGGACTTCATTGTTCGAGAGCTGGCGTTTGAGTCAACCTCCAAGGCCTTAAAATTCTTAAACAAATTTTCGTTAATATACACTGGCAGCAATCAAACTGAACTGGATTGCAAAGCCAGCCTACCAGCTATTGCAAGTATTTAACATTTTCTGTTTGTTAGCCCTCCTGTTATAGTAGCATGGTGCTGCGCAGTCATGTAACTGCCTCATGGTTAGCGGGTATCAATAATCCGGCGTGGCGGCACAACTTCGCTTGTCACTACTTGTCTTGGATGCAGCAACAATAAACATCGCTTTGAACTATCCTGAGGAAGAAGAACACCATGAAGTACAACTCTTGCAATAAGACGCTACAACATCACCGTGCTATAAAAATGTGATTGGCATTACAAGAATCAGGAGGCTTTAATTATAATGCAACAGTTTTAAGTGACTTGAAGAAAATGTGCAGTTATACATGGCAGAATAGACTGAATGTAAATAATCAATTTCTCTTTGCATAATATTTTACTATGATATTTTAATTTTAATTCTTGTATAGTAATTATTATTGTCTAAGGTTTTATAGATCATATGAATTTAATGAAATTAATTGAAGTCAATAATAATCGTTTTTTTAATTTATATTTTTTATTTCTAAAAATCCAGACCCTATAACAAACTACAAACGTATATGAATGGAGAAGTTTGATGACGCTGTTGATAACTCAACATAATCATTTTAACGAATATTGCCAATGTCAGTAGTTGAGTCTATAGGGATCTCCTAAAGGAACTAATACTGATAAAAGTACTTTGGTGGTTAATAAAAAACGTTTTAACGTTCCTGTCTATCCTAGGCCTTGGACGAGAACATAAGCCCGATTGTAAAATTGTAATGATCATTTTTTTTAATTTTTAAAAAGTTTGAAGAGCGCATGGCAAAAGTACGATTAAAGTTAATGCAAAATATACATTTATAGAATTCGGCAGAACTACACCTCTGATTCAACATGAATAATGATTGGTATATATTCAAAGATATATAATATAGAGGTCAGTATATAGACCTATAAAGCAAAGTTATCAACTATCACTGCAAAAATGGCATAAATCGAATAGGCACAAAATACCACAGTTCAGTAGTGATTTTCTGTTTTTCTTTTATGTCGTTTTGTATGCCCATGCAGGTTTTATATATTTTTTTTACCGTCATAACCGTGCTGGGAACGCCTCTCTTACTGGCACAAATGGGAATATCGCACTGTGACGCTGTCATTTTATTTAAAAAAGACCGCTAATTTCTGCTTCCGGTCACACTAGTAAACATTGTAAATATTTTATTTACTTTTTGCTAGTAATACTAGTAACACTGGTGACACAGTGTCACTGTCACTTGCTGTCACTGTAAAAGTAAAAGGCCTATGTTTCAAAGTGTTATTTTTTATTGCTATCACCAATGATGTTTTTTTCAACAAAACAATGCAATTGTTAATATACCAATAAGTAAAATAACATTCCTTTTGAGTTTGAGGATTTAATCTTAAATAGACGAGTAATTATGGATAAATTAACTGTTATATCGGGAACTTTGTTCATGGCAGCAGATGTTTTTGCAATAGTAAGTCTGGCTATGCCAGATTGGATAATTACTGATGTAGGAGGTAAGATTATTAAATACGACATTATTATGATTCAAAGAAGGGATATATACTTTTTTTTTGTAGGTGATACACGTCTTGGCTTAATGTGGTCTTGTATGGCACTCTACAACAGACCCCAAGTATGTTTTACACCCGACCTTCAACCGGAATGGCTTCTAGCGCTAATATGTATCCTCATTGGATGTGTTTGTATAACAAGCACTGTTATCCTTTTAGCGTCAAGTCATTTTGATCGTAATGTCATTCCATATGCAAGATGGGTTGGATTTGCTGCCAGTAAGTTTATTTTAGTACTTATTTTAATGTTTTAAAATGCCAACTTCGCCGAATGCGAAGCATAATAACTTGAAATATGACCTTGAAATGCTAATGTTACAATGGGAAATTTGAATAAACAAGTTGTTTAATGTTTCAGTGGTGGCATTTTGTCTTGCTGCAGTTATTTTCCCCATGGGCTTCCATGTGGATGAGATTGGTGGGCAACCATATCAACTTCCTAATAGTCACCAAGTTGGTATATCATACATATTGTTTGTGCTGTCTTTATGGATAACAGTAATATCAGAGTTGTTTGCGGGGAAAGTATGTTTACCTCATTTTTAAGTAATAACAAGATAATTAAGTTTTATTTTGGTGAATTTATAATTATTTATGTTAACTAGCATATAAATTAACTAGATGTATAGAGTGTAAAATCTCATTTAAAATAAGTTATTATAGATAAGTCAAGTTTGTTATCATATGTAAGTGGTAAAAAATTATCTAATAAATAATTTAAACATTTTAACATGTATTTTCTCTTAATTAATAGTACTACACTAACTACTACTACTAGTAGTACTAGTTATAAATAATATTGTAATTTTTCTACAAAACATTTTTAAATTATTTTTGATATATGGAAAATATAGTACTTTTGGCCATTTATAAGTTCTCAGTAAAACAAATATATATTATAATTAAATGTTCCGTCACCACTAATTATGGGTTTTGATGATAGAATAAACCATAATGTCACTCCTACCAAGCATTTTGAACAGAGATAATAATGTTTATACATGAGTTGAAGTAATGGTGAGCCACGGCTGTCTTTGGGTTGTTTTTAAAAAAGTTTTATTTAAAAAGTACTAAAATTTTAGGATATAATACATCTGTACACTCGTATAATGCTTCTTTAAAAGTAGGTAATAAAAATAATTATACAATTTTCTCACAATTCCTGTTTATTGCAATGCTTTGCTATTAACAATAGAAACATAAATAGGTATAATATTTCGTAGTCCATTATTCACGCCAGTTCATCGTTAATCACTGAATAAACTATGTATAGTTTAAACTTATTTTTTTTTAACTTTTACTCATTTTGAGCTTATGTTTACATTTTTTCGAGGCTTTAATAAATGAATAACATCTAAGTCTTATTTAAATTTTCCGTTATATGTTAGACAACCATTAAATATTTTTTTATATAGCAAGTCATGTGGAGTGTATCAGTAAGTTTATGCGCGTTGGGTCAGTATATGTTCGTAGTTATGCGGGCGCCGAGCTGTTGGCGGTGTTGCTCGTCGTGTTGGAAGCATTGTCGTCGGGTTCGTCGATCTGTAGCCATGGCATTCGCTTTTGCAGTTCTTGCCTAAAATTTTAAAAATAAACATTACATCGTTGATGTATTAATATCGTGGGGATCTAGGAATGTAACATCGCGGACAATTCAACGTACTCAAATTTCTCTTTTAAATCTAAAATTAATTTTATTTACCTGTATTTAGGATGGCTAATGGCATACACCCAAGGGTCGATACAGGCGACACCCTTACATGCAAGGGCGGGTATCATTGTTACCTAGAAAAAAAAAAATTCTTAAAATTATTGTTATGAGCCTATCTAGCAGATAGTTCTTTACTACTAAAAATAAGTTTCTTTAAATTTCTTTTTGAATATACAAAGATAAATTTTTAAACTTTCAATTAAGAATTCCAGCTGTTTATTACGCTTTATAGCAATACAGTGTACCTGGCTACAAGATATATCACAATTAATAATTATAGTTAGTGGACCATGTGCGCCATAAATTCATTCATTACCCCCGGTGTCAATAGATTCTGGTCTCCAAACGCTCCAATGAGCGACATGACGCCATAGGGAGTCCACGAGGCGACGTACAGGAAGCAGACGGTGAGCGCTGCCTTCGCGATGCGGATCTCCGCGGACTCCGCAGCCGCGTTCTGATTCGACCTCAGGGAATCCACGTTCATTTTCTTCGCTTGTTCTCTGTTTCGCGTAAAATTTACTCAATCATCATCATCTTTCTAGGAGTATTTATTTACTACTACTATTTATATTTTTACACGTAAGTTGCGATGCCAAAACATTGAAAAAGTACTAAGTACGTGTACCAATTAGGTTTTGTAAAAAAGAAATTGGACCATTAAACGCATCTAAACATTCGCGTTTGATAACAAACAAGAGATGTTGTTGATGTGTCGTTGTTTAGACAGAATCTTAATCATAGTTTTCACCCAAGAAGAAGAAGAATTTACCTTAAGGCGGCTTCGTGTGCAAACACCTGTTTAACAATACCGCTGTAGAAGTACAAGATGGCGATCATGGGGAATATGTAGACGCAGACGAACATGCTCGCCACGAAAAGTTTGTTGTCGAATGTCGTGGTGAGGTAATCGAACGTACAAGATGTCAGGAAACCCTCTGAAATGTATTATAACGTTTATACTTATAAGTATCTTAATATTAAGGAACCTTGCAATTAGTTATTTTTAACATACTCTAATTTTCTTTAGGAAATCATTATTCATTAAAAAATTATAACTCCGTGAGCGCGGTAATTAAAAAAGACTATGGTCTACATGTATGCCTAATTTCAGCGAGATCCTTTTAGCCTTTCTTGAGATACCTTCTAACAAATATCCATCCATCCAACCTAACTTTCGCATTTATAATAACAGTACGATGTAACAATTATGAATATAAAATCACCTGGTACGTATCGGCCCCAGATTTGTAGCTGCGGCAGGATGGCCCAGGGCGCTGTATACAGCCATACGCACACCATCATTAGCAGCACCTTGCCGCGCGACAGTCGCCCGTCTAGCGGTCGCGTGATAGTCGAGTGTCTGCAAATAAAAATAAAGTACCGTAAAACATATACGTTACAATAACCACTGCAATATTTGAACTGATGATAATATAAAGTGCTAGGACACGAACTTTTAGGTTAATTAGTTACGGATAAATATAAGTAAAATTTCAGTTCTCATCATATTATGATGATGCATTTAAATATTATAGAACAAAAGGTTTCTAAGACCAACATTACGGTGACAATTGAAGACCATATCGCAACTTACAGGAAATTTCATTGAATCACAGCACTAAACCACTCTCGTAGTATAAAAAATACGCCAAAAAATTATATTTGTAATGTAATTGTTATTATTGAACAAATGAATGGCCTTAGATCTATGGCACACAACAGGCAGTCTTACCTGTCGTAAGCTATGCAAGCGTTGGTCAGTCCCGCTGCGGTCCCGCTCACCGAGCCCATGAAGGCGAATATCTGACATCCAATAACGCCGGATGCGAAGCCACGCTTTATGCTGTTGTAGATGAATATCGGCGCTTTCAGCATCATCAAGAAGTCCAACACGGCCAGCTGCACGACGAGAAGATTGCTAGGAGTTCGAAGTGATTTTGAGCTGAAAATAGACAAGACCTTTTTATTTTACATAATCTGCCAAACATTGCGTATTAGGAAGACCTTTTTATATATAATTTTTAAAATTATCAATCCATTTTTAGGGACTTTGTGTCGCAATTTTTGTGTGTGATTATTGGATACAAACGCGGAGAATATGAATATGACGAGTCCATTTCCGATGAGAGCGGCAGCGGTGAAGAAAACGTAGACAAGCGCGAGCATGGTGTGTGCGCTGGCAGGCGGCGCAGGGTACGACAGCCAGTGCTCCGGGATGGCCGCCAGGTCCTCGCCAGTCAGGCCGGCGCCCAGCAACTCCACTCCTTCTGATCTGAATACAGACGTCTGTACTTAGAGTCACGGATAGACATTTATATGGACTCATTTTTCATCTTGACATCACTAGTAGTACAAGGAATCTAATGCTGATATACACTTTCAGGTACTTCTTTAATTGCAACCTTATACAAATGAAAGTACCGAGTAAATACATTTGTAAAATAAACTTGTGCAAATTTATACATCATATGGAAATGTATTATACTTACCTATATGGTGCAAAGTAAGCGCCATAATTGTAGTTATTTTCAGTGTGGTTGTCCATGACGGCAGCCGGGATCATCTTGTGAGCAGCCCTCGGTAGTGCGTTCGGCTTCACCAACTGACTGACTGCTGACTCTCGCTTCACGATCCCACGTTTTATATCACCCACCAGCTAATGAAATTTAACGGATTATCCACGTAGATGCCGGTGATAGGATTAGTAAAGATTTCCACGATTAATGACATGTATATAGATTTGTAGTGACGAATGCGCTGCTTATATCCATTAGCGGGATCAAGGGTGTTGTAACCGGAGCGCGCTCCGCAACGAAACCGTACATTTGGTGAGCTTTTTTGTTTGTTGTCAAATAGTAGCTCGCTTCACACCTCCTAGTTAAATCCTGTAATCCTGAAATAAGACTTTTAATCTAAGACAATTTTAAATGATTATACAGTTCTTGATATTTAACATTCTGTGTCATGATGAGTATATAAGGAAAAAGCAAGCGAAGAATATGAATATTGAGTAAGTTCATGTATAAATAAAATACCTTTAGATTAATACACGTAATAAAAACATACCATTGGTTTAAAGTGCTTAGTTGATCCGTAATCATGCTAACAAGATTGATCTAATCGCGTTCTCATGACAAATCTATATGTAGAGGTATATAGCTAAATATATGCAAATGGGGTGATTTACATATACCTATATTTACTTAACATCACATTTAATTTAGTTTAAGTTATGTATGTTAGGTACATTTTTAATGCTATATATAAATTTTTAATTTTGGACAAAGTAACTAAGTTCTTTCTGTTTCATATTTTTCTAGGACATAGTAAATGATATCACCTGGATATGAAGTTCTTATATACTTGTTCAAGCCGTATTATTATTGCTTAGTAATTTTCGAGAAATTCAGTGTATAGAAATAACATAACTTTTTGAATAATTCCAAAGAATCAAAATATATATCAAAGTAAATATTTCAACATAATGTTATTATTGCCTTGATCATGTTTTCTACTTTTAAATAGGAAACTTATTTTTCTTTATTTTCTTTTCATAAAATTAAAACCATTAAAAACGAATATTACCGGGTGGCTAATAATTATTAACCTTTATGTTCATTATGTATAGTATACCATACATACAACTCTATAAAAATATACGATCACTATAAAATAACTTTTAACTTAGTTTTATTAAACTTATTTTTGCTTTTGTGTATTTTTTGCTTTTCTTAAAAAAAAAAACTTGCCACAATAAGGGTTAAATAAGGTAATATAAAAAAAAATATCATCAACAACTTTAATAGACATCACAACAACCATTTGGATCAATTACCTTCTACCTTACTTTACGGATACTTTACACAGAAATGTCGAAGTATGCTGTTATATTCTCCACCATATAAAAACTGTTTATTGTATAAAAATGTCAATAAAATGCTTTAAAAAGAATTCTCCACGTAAGATCTAAAAACATTTAGGTTCTTGATAGTTCCTTACAGTATTTAAATGATGATATTTTATACAAAACAGAGTATAACATTTATTCTTAGCTTCTAAATTTGCTCGCCACAAGAAATAGTAATCAAAAGAAATAAAAAAGTAAATATTTGGTTTTTCTCTACTGACAATTATAAAATTAATAGCATTATTTATCAAATGGTATGCTTGCTTTTCAAAATATAAACGAAATGACTAAATCGAGCATTTCATTAGAATTAATGTGGTTGCGTTTTACAATCATCTGTAGAAAGTATTGGAACCTGAACTATAAAATGGAATGTATTTTCTTTAGAGCCTTTATCAGTACTACTTAATCGTAAGGAAGATTTCGTTTTAAACAACGTCATTTATACATAATAATAATGACAATATTATATGAACAAATATATGGCACTTCGTAGGAAGTGAAATAAGGATATTACAGAATTAAATTTGCAATAAAGAATTCTCCAATGTAAATAAATATTAAAAACACTACGTTTTACATATTATACATGCCAAGTTATTATAGAGTGCCAATAATAAATTCTATGACCTACCTTACCTTGTATTGCTTCTACAGTACACTGACATCGATGGCACTTTTAACAAACATTTAGACGTAATTATCACATTTTACACACATTAATTTTTAGGGTTTTCTAAGTGAACTTTATTAAGAGGCCACCGTGAATTTGAGGTGTATGTTAAGTTATATAGTTTATTAAAAATCCTGTTAAAATGAATAATATTGTAATGGACAAGACTCTGAGTATTTGTAAACATAAATACTTCACAATTTTTTTATAAAAAAATTCTACAGCTAAACCTCTTGAATTTGTTTTTTTATATTCACTAATTACGATATAAATTTTCAGCAATGTCACATATTAAGTCTTCATTGTTTTAATTAGATTATAATTATGCGGTTAGTTTTTTTTTACAAAATTCGCTTTAATCAGTCTTTTATCTTTTAACAAAGGGGTTCTAAAAAGTTTTTAACATATCCACTGTGAGTAATAAATAGATTTGATGTTAATTTACTTACATTAATACAATTTTATGTTAACTAGATAGTTAATACATAATATAAATAGTTGTGGGTATACGAACAAGTAATGACGGCGGCCTCTATGTAGATACGTAGGTACTATCACACATATAACTTTATAAACCAAATATATTAAAATTTACAAAAATATTCAGATAATATAAGAATGATAAAATAGGAAAACATTTCGTAGTACGTTAAAGGCAGCGTGGTCATTAAAATTGAAAAGATACAAAGTTTCGTTCGGAGTAAATCGTATTTGAAAACATCAAACACGTAGGTTTATGATTACTGCTTACGTGTCGGATGTTATATTTTGATCTTGTTGTTTTTCAGGTGGCGTATCTTCAGGTTCGACAATTAGTATACACGTTTGGGCGGACGGCAACGGGGACACTTGCACAGAGTCCAATGAAGTCGCGGGGGGCGGGGGTGTGCTGAGGCAGGGCGGAGGCGCACTGCAGGACCGCATCTCTTGATCCACCGATAAGTGCACTATTTCAACTGCATCAGGAATGTCGTCTTCCACTATTCTGTGTACGTGAATATTTTAAATTATATAGTATTAAGTACATTAGTCAAATATAAAAAAAACCAATGAACTTTTACGTTTACTCTACGAGGTAAGAGTTACATTTAAGAACTACAAGCAACGTGTTGTTTGTAAAACAAAACAAACTTTTAAGTAATTTAGCAATTTTTCCACATGGATAAATTTATTTAATAAAATGAACAGCACCGAGTCCCCAATCTCATATACTGACATAGAAAATATATGCTGACCTTGGCGTTGATTCTTCTATACAATTAATATTGCTGACATTTTCGCCAGATAAAGCTGAAACGAAAATTACACAGTCTTAGTTATATGAATTGTCACAATTAGAGTCAAGTGTCCAGTCACCACGAGAGACCTAGATTTTGTATAAAGAAAATCTAGTTAGTAGAGTTAGTTGCTCATTGTTTAAGTCACGATTAAATGATTCTTAACAATTAAACGAATGAGTCGGTATAGACAGAGAAGTAAAGTATTGTTGCTCACGATATAACGTGTCTTCTCGCAGGCGCTGCTGTCGCGCGAGGGGGCGGCGGCGAGTGTTGTCGCAGACACGCAGCGTGACGCCAGCGCACGTGCCGCTGCCGTGCAAGTCCAGCGCCAGCGACGACTGCGACCCGCACTCAGACTCCGCCGCGCTCGCACTGCACAACACATTCATCATGTCCAACAAAATAAGGTATACAGCAATGGTCGAAAAGATGACGACATAAATGAAGTGCCTGGTAAGTTAGTACAAGCCGAAAAAATAAAATAGAAAATACTTTCTATAAACGTGTCCCATACGTCACTAACAGCGAATATATATAACGATAAATAGTTAATATTAATATCAAATAGTGTAAACCAGTTCTCACAACTTTATAAAGCAAAAAGTAGTTCGCGTATTGCTTCACAATAATAAAAACATTGAATGTCAAAAAGTTCAAGTATTCGCAATTCGTTGCTTAAAAAAGCTCCAACGAAGTTTAGGATTTGCCATGTTTGCGCTCTTTTTAAAAATAAGTCAAACTACTAGGTTAAATTCTGTAGTAGTTTATTAAATTATAAAACAAAAAAAGTTTTAAAGCGCAGTATGTTGCTTGTTGAATTACACGGTGAAGTGAACGCCAAGCGTGCGCTTTTTCTGCATGTCAAAGTAAGTGGCTCAAGTATCCACGGCAAAGATGCTAATAAAGCTTTTTAAAATGAGAATTACCAATACTTACCTAGTATTGCCATTTGCTTAAGGAGTAATAAAGTAATATTTCTAATACTTTAAATGCGTACAGCTATTCTTCTGTATGGGTTGTTCATCAGTTTCATCAGTAAAATAAATAATTATAAAATATAATATTTTAAAGGACCATTTGTCACAATTGCAGTATACATAACACTACTAAAATAGTCTCACAAACAAAATGAAATTTTAACATTTTAGCATTAGTACCTGACGGCAGATTGCGGCGGTTCGTCTACGGAAAGCGCGTAGCGGCGTAGCGGGCGGCGTAGCGCACTCACCGGCAGCAGCGGGCGAGCGCCTCCGCCTCGCAAGTCCGGCGCCGAACCGAAGCGGGCTCGCTCGCGCGCCTTCTCACCCCCTCTGCGTTACACACTCACTGAGACACTTCCTTCCTCCGGACCCACATCCTATGTAAATACTTGTCGCAATAGCCAATGGAGGCGACGGAATCACGCCTATGTTGATCTATGCACATCGCCTACGATTTACTTAAGCAATGATATTAAGCATTATTAACTTGTTAAATGGTAAATACATCATACAACTTATGATATGATCGACCCCAAATTCAACACTCTTACACAAGAATTAAGGGCTTGGTCTTGCTTATACTAAGATCTAATGTTATTCGATGGTGATTCTAAGACACATAATTTATATGAAATTTGTTAGTATGTAGTACCTGGAGCAGAGATGTGCGGGGCGCGTTCTATGTATGGGTGGTAGTGGCACAGCGTGTGGTAGTGGCAGTGGCAGTGGTAGCGCGTGTGGCAGGCGGTATACACCTAGTTGGTCGAGGCGGGCGGGCGCGCCGGCCGCGCAGGGCGGGCCGCGCCGGGGTAGCGGGCGGGGCAGTGTCTGCGGCCGCGCCGGCGTCACCTTGGCCGCGCTGTCCCGCGCCTCGAATGTCATCACGCAAGCTGCCACTACTATGAAACCTGATCGGGCAATTATTTGTTATATTTAATATTATTTTTTATCATAGTTAAACATAATGATGTACATTACATGAGAAATATTATAATTTTAAATATATTTAGACATAAAAGACACTTACATAAGGGATATTTAAAAACGACTTTGATTATTTAATTGTATATTGAAAGTGTTAATTATTTTATTACTTTAGTACATATACAACACCTCCAAATCCCATGACAATAGGTCCTGCATATGAAAGGTTGTTCAGATGAAACCCTCTGGCCTCATCTTTGACTGACACCGTTGCGTTGCCGCGTATCTCTTGTGCCACCGACAGTGTGTCTGCGTAGTAACCTGAAAAGTTTACAACAAAAATAATAGTCAAATTTAACCATATATATGTTATAATCCCTTACCCTACTCTACATTAGCTAGGCAATTTTTTGTTTATTTACCTAAGTAACAAAAACAAAATTGCTTAATTTTTATACTCAGTCCTTGTTGTGTCACTGCTTGGAATAATGCTTAGTAAAAAGTTATATGTACATCAATTTCATTTTATTGATACGGTGAATCTAGTATATATTTGTTCGACTTTTGTATTAACATTTTGTAAAATGACATGCAGTGACAATGTAAGTTAGTTTGTAACATGCACGAGGCGGCATCAGCGTCCCGGAAGCGACGGCCGGAAGTTTCAGCGAGCGCTGGGAGCTCCGGCATCGCTCCGGCGCTCCAGACTCACATCCGGCACGATTTAATTACAATTGGAAATAATTACTTCCATTTCTAACTAGTAAAATTTATATTTAAGTAGCAACGAGCTTCAGATTCATTGGGAAAGTTAAATAAAAAGTTTACTCACTTATAAGAGTTTTTTATTAATGCCATAAGTGTAAAAGAGTTAAAAATATTTCTATTTTGTTTTACTAATTACTAAATTAATACAGAGCTTCTGTCAGCGAATTATCTAGGTTTTGTTTATAATTTTTCATTCATTTACCTCTTGCTAAGCTCTTTTACTCTAACAAAGATGAAGCGTATTAGTATTCATGGACGAAATAAAAGTATCAAAAGTAATAAAACTATTAAAAGTGAATATCTGTGTGAGGTAAAGTGAATCTACTCGATGCAAGAGTGCTTCACGTGTGCCCACTACGAGTGCTGCCGTATTAAGTCCGTCCGATGCGCGTTTGCTAATAAAATACACATTTTAATTAAAATAATTAAAGAATATCTCTTTTGGCAGCGTATCACTGTAGCAAATATATAAGTACAAAGTTTTTAAATATTTTTATACATATCTTAATTAAATTTTCCCTTGCCTATATTTTATTTGTGATTAGAAATAAGTTACATTGCTGACGATTGTTATTTTGAAGCTCTCTAATAGAGGGCAAATTAAAATTTTTACAAATCCCAACTTTACGGGAATTGTAAACAAGACCAAGTCAAAATTTTAAATTAACTTCAATATATTTGCTACATTTCTTCGTAGAGCATACTTGTACCATGATATATTATATAGGCATTTGTAGCATTATCGAGTTTAAATTAACATGTGTAAAACATATTGAGTTATGTCGACATATGCTCGGCGCTATTGGTACATCACGTTTCCGCGTTAATTAATTTTGATAAGATTATGATGAAATAATTAACTTGCGCCTCAATTTCCGATATTAAGTTTATTTCTTAATGTTTTTTTCAAAACTGAAATTATGTAGGCTGAAAGTAGGATTATTTATGTTTTTTTTTTATAATTTGAATGTGCAAGTAGTAATATTTGCGTACTTTTGCATGTATTACTTTAAAGTGTGAGAAATTCGTTTCGTGGGGTTGTCAGAAAACAGATTTTTAAAAAAATATTAATTTCAAATGTGCATTTTTAACAGATGATGATGTGAGCGCATAATTTGGGGCACATAGGGAAAACTTAGAACACTTGTGTGCAAGACTTCTTCAAAGCAAAGTATCAGCACCCGTCTCTTCCAAACAAGAATGAAACAAAAAACAATCGACACTATCCCAAAAACGGAAAAGGAGAGCCATAATTTAGAAATGGAATAACGCATATTACCTATGACAGCCATAGCGGAGCCGAGCAGCATGAGGAGCAAGCCGGCGGAGAGCGCGCGGCACGCGTGCCATAAGCACTGCGAGCTCATCTTGCCGCGAACCACCTGCAAATATATGCCCAATCGATATCACTTACCGTAGAAGTAGACTTCATCGATCCATTCATTCTCCAATTCACGTGTGATCAGGTGATCAAGAAATATAAGTTGGTAATATGACACTTATGATTACCCTTCAAATATTTTCCTATCGTGTTTGTTGTTGCCCTACATCACGTGTATCACCCATTTGGGATATAACACGAACTTCGTTACAAATTTCGAGTTATAAAAAATCTCTTCTCCATCTTATCTTTCCTGTTTTCAGATTTCAGAAATTGTATAGAAATTATGAAAGTGTTCTTGAATACGGACGCAGTCTGTCACGTGGTCAAGTATCATAACACTCGCTGAGGAAGTGTGTAAACAAGTCAATATTATTTTTGTTATAGAATTTGATAGCACATACCAAGCATTTTCTTGATAAATTGTCTACGTAATCGATATTTATCCTACTATGTTCCTACTTGGTACGTTATAAATAAGTGTATGTAAGCTCTCGGTACGTAGAGCCTTACACTTGATCCAAGTGATCTAATGTTCGCAGGGAAGGGGGAGAGTACATAAATACCGATTAAATTTCCATTCATCCGTCACTTACGCAGATGATAATAGTTTTAATGTATTCATCGAAGCGAGTTGCGTGCGCAACAAGTCCTCGGCCAACTGTTGAGTGAGCTTTCAACGGTCACTTAAAACATTTTCTATTTTTTTTTTGTTTAAACTATGCATTAATTGATTTCTGTCACAGACATGGCTTTTGAAATGCACTAGAAGAGTCGCAGGTTGTGGCCGTGTTGGCTAATAGGATGTTTTACTAGAGTGGGATGGTTTTGGGTGAGTACCTGGACGTTCCAGGTGGCCCCAGAGGCAGGGTGGGCGCGCCGCAAGGGCCCGGTGACGCTCCGTGCGCGCCTCATTCCGACTGCGGTGCCAGCCGGCTACTCCACGCTGCGCGCGCACGCAGCCTCTCCGCTCCTGGCGTCCCGGTTTATCTCTCCAAATGCAATTCATCCTTAGCGCGAACGAATAAGACGCATCTTTCATTGCAGCCATCTCGCCGGTGCCTCGCCGTATGTAGGCGACGACTCGTCTTCCAGACGTCGACGTTCCGTGATATTGGAACGACTCGATTACGTTGGAATTACGAACCGTAAACAGAATTGGGATGCGGCGCTTGAATGACACATAACGATCCTTATTCGTATTAGCGTCTGGTCTCTTTTTGCTGTGGGGATTCCGTCTGGGAGTGGTGACTTCGATGTCACTAGCATTCTCCTTTGTCACGGATGTATGAACGTATTCGAATCAGGCGCAGAATTATTTAAATTAGTAATGCAATTGAAGAGGATTTATACGGAGAACAGACGATCTATTGTTATTTCCAACATGTTTTTAATCTTTGTATAATAATAATAATAATAAAAGAAATGTATTATTGTCGGTCTACAAGTGACATTCATTGCATCCAGTAGCGAAGCTCTTAAAACAGATTAAATGAAGGAATTCAATATATTGCAACGCATATCTAAACGACTTAGAAATAAATTTAATATACAATTCTAATTAAACGATATCAAAGTTGACCGTAATTAATCGTTACCGACAGGGTCCGATGGGGTCTGTTGTGATATGCATATTAAAAAGTAAAAAGTCGAGGTAGAGATTCCTATGAAGAAATGAATGCATGTTTTGCATTTCAGAAATAAATAATGAGTAAATGTATTAAGTGAAATCGAAAAAAGTGTCGCTTTTTTAAGTACTAGTTTACCACTTTATTTATAACTTTAATTTTGTTACAAATATTTTTAGTATTAATCAGAAGATTTTTTAGATTTTGTGTAAAAATAATATCTTCTTAAAATATTTTATTATTATATTTTATTACCATTAACCGTTTTTTAAATCACAACCTAAGAGTCTATTGTAAAAATGTGTCGTTTGCAATACATACGTAAGTATTTTTCAACTTATTATTTCCGTGCATTTAGAACATCCTATGAAAAAGTAAAATACATTTAACGTTTAATGTATGAGGAAATAATCTGTGATAATTTGAAAGTTATTTCGAGTAGTATTTATTCAAGCTCGTGCAAAAATCTGAATATTGTAAGATTACGCTCGTTAGTGCAATTCGGAAGGCGGTTCCTTGCCAAAAATGGCCAAACAAATATTAACATAAAATACGTTATGAGACTTGTGCGTTGTATGGTATATTGAGTATTATATTATTTGGTCCCGGGATCTTCAATTTGGCACATTTATTGCGCAGTTGCCTTGTCTCCGGAATAATGGGCGAATTTTAACACTCCCATAATATTTCATAAAATGATTTATACCCACTACTATTGAAGTATTTCGGATTTATTACAACGTTGTTTTCCTGTATTCTAGTTTTACTTTTAATAATACGACCAAACTTAAACTTCTCATTATAAAATGGAAATTAGATCAGCTTTTCGGATCATTAGAATTTAATAATAATTATGATGATTTTACACAATTATTAGTCTAAATTTACGAGAAAAAAAAACTTTTATGTTATTTTATTCATAAAGGCACTTATCTCTATAGTCCAATTGACCTATTCGTTCTGTTGAAAAGTTTTAAATTTTTTAGTACTTGTTAAGTAAATAGTTTTTTATTTTGCATTTGTGACAAACTGCCAGTGTCTTTGTTTATTACGAGTGCAAACGCTTTTCAGGTATTTCTAGTGTTCCAAATATTTTCGAGGTAACTTTCAGGAGTTTGTTTTAGGCAGAAAAAAAGAATTTAAACTCGAATTTTTACAAACATTGTGTCCATATTTGTGCTATGTCCGTATTGTTACTATATGTATGTAGGTCGCAAAGTAATTTACAATAATGTTTAGAATATGTAGTTGAGCTTTATCTTTTTATTGTGTATTGTATAAACTCTAATGAGGAGGACATTTTTTTATTTTCTTGAATCATAGTAATAATTGTAGAGTTATTTAAATTATAACAATGTTTTTATTCATATCGTTGAAAACATTTTTTAATTCATGTCTATTGTTTGCGGATTGTGTAGTCTTCATTTGGTGACTTTTATGTTGCTTCAATTCGAAAACGCAGATCATATCCTCACATTCCATGGCTACAACTATGGAGATTAACATCCTATCCAGTATGTACTAATTTATATACACAAGGATTTATTTCTTGCTTTGTCAGATTTAAGAAAAAATCAGTGGCAAAACTTTTCGGCTTTCTTATATTACACAATAATTTTAAGGTGGAGACAGCGAAGTTTCTATTTACACGGTAGAGTGGGTACGTCTCTGCTGGCTGGAAAAGTGAATAATTCGATTGAGATTAAATTCAAGCAAGTCCGCGTAGAGCGTAGAGTTCGCAATCTCCGCGCTACGTCTGCGGCGTAGCGAGGCGCCACCGCCACGGTCGTAGCCGCACCGCTGGGACACGACACGACCTCAACCGTGTCCGCAAAACTTTTACGCTATGATTGTGATACCCTCACTTACTTTATTGCAACTTCCGTTTATAATTTTTAATTTTAACACATGAATTTTAGCACAAGCTTTTGGAAAGGAAAGTAGTTAAGAATTTATAATATTATTTTCGACAATGACTATTTAGTGCCATGATTATTAATTTGTCTCGGTAATTATTCTTTAATCATTGATAATCCTCCAAGCAAACAATAACATAAATTAACCATTTGTATTTTATACAGTAACTAGAAGAGAGATGAACTTCAAGACATTTTTCTGTTTTTTTAACCTTTTTTATAAGAAAAACGAATAGAGCCCTCTTCGCCATTATGCAACTTCAATTAAATGCATATTTCAATTAAAAAGAAAATACGAGAAAAATCTGGCCTAAAAACTGATCAGATACATAAAATGCTTAGATGCACATGTTTTGCGAGAAAAACCATAACATGATTACATTCAAAGGAAGTTGGGCGCTTCGGGGACAGATATTTCACTCGAGAGAAATGTGTATTTATTGGCTCCAACAACGTAACGTCAGTTACTTGTTCGCGATTGTATTTACACCGCTCCTCTACTTTTTGCTCCGATCAAATACGGATAACTTATTTTAGGTTTCTATGTCGTATATTTATTTAGTTTTATTCATGAATATCTGACATTTATGTTCGCAATATTTAATGTGAACAAATATTATTTGGTAATATGGGACTGTTAAAACTAATAGGAACCAAAAACTTGGAGAAGTTTATGAGACGCTAGATTTTCTAAATTGGGTATATTAGCTTTAAGTGTGCTACTAGTTTACCTAGACACAAGAATACGAGACAACTTTAAGTTTTAAAAGATAAAGCATACTTCTGTAAATGGACAGTGGCCTAACGTTTGTAGTAGTTACAAAGGTATTTAATTGATAAACTCATTAGAGGACAGCGGGATATTGAATAGCCGTTAGATTGCATTGCATTATTATTGGAATGCCGCAGCTGTACCTGCGGACTAAATTGATGGTTGACGATTGTGCATTTGAGAGATTTGTCCGGCGTGCGGGTGGCGGGTCGGCCGTTGAGGGGTGTGGGGTGGCGTTAAGGTGGTGCGGGGGGGTGCGCGGGGGCGGCACGTGGCCGGGGCTCGGCGCGGCTGCGCGGGCCGCCGCGCCGGGCTCCGGCCGGGCTCGCGGCATTCCCCGCCGACCCCGCCATGCGCGCCGCCGCGCCGGGCGCGCTCGCCGCGCCAGACGCGCGCACTGCCCGCGCACCGCGCTAGCCGCGCTCATGGAGCCGCCCTGGGAGCTCGAGCTGGAGCTGCGGCGGCACATCGAGAGCTGCGCGTGCACCTGCGACCACATGGGCTACGGCAACTACATGGACTACCGCGCACCCGCGGCGCACGCCTGCTTGTGCCGCGCGCTCACCTCGCCGCACGCCCACGTACGTGTCGTGCCGCGGCTGCCGGCCACCGGCTACCGACCCG